TCTTATCATGTATATTGGTGAATAATGCTGTTATGAATTGCTTATTTTCAAGAAATAAATGCTTAACCCAAATCTGAAGGACATGGCATGTATGTACATGTCATGCCCACTGGAAGCCTTCCCCCTTCCTCTGGAGTTGCCTCACTTGCTCTAATGTGAACAAGCATTTTTTTTTTCTTTCTTTCTTTCTTTTTTTTACTTTACTTTACTGTACTCTACACTACTCTTCTGTTTTTGTCTTTCTTCGAAACTTAAGTCAGGGACTCTTATCATGGCTTTTAGTTTCTCAGTGTCCTTAACCCAATGGCGCCGGGTGTACAAAACAAAACAAAAAACTCTACGCTTAAACAAACAAAGGCGGCGCGCCGACTTTGAGTGTGTGAGTAGGGGACATCAGTCCGAATCACTGGCTCGGCGCGCCAAAGCGCGTTTGGCTCGTTTGGCTGCATGCCAGCTTTCGAGCTCTTTGTTTACACGCCGATCGGCGTCACCCGGCACCAAGGGGTTAAGTCCATGTTTTTTCCTATTAGTTGCCATTTTTATTTTTCATTCTGTTGTGTAACCCTAATTGGTTTTGGTCTCAAAGCCTGCAGTTATTATTTGTTTTCTTTATTTTTGCTTAGATAATTTCAGAGCAGTGTTTCACTTTCTTCTTTTGTTTTGGCTTAACTGCTTAGCACTGTTGCTTTTCTTTTTGTTTATTCTTTATTTTTTCTTTAACATTGCTTTCTTCTTGCAGTGCTTTGCTCTGCTTGATTTTTTTTCCGTTTCTTTCTCCTCCTCCTCCTCCTCCTCCTCCTCCTCCTCCTCCTCCTCCTCCTCCTCCTCCTCCTCCTCCTCCTCCTCCTCCTATATATTTTTGTCTTCTTTCTCTCTTTCTTACAAGACCTTTATTTCATATTTTTGACTCACAGTAACCTCACTAAATACATATACTGTTTAATGTCAAAGGGAACAAGAAATGTAAGCATAACACTTTCTAATTACAAGGTTAGTGAAATGGAGAGCAACCTGCCAGAGGGATGTACAGTCAAGTTCGAGGACCCCAACGCCCTCCACACCTTCCGCCTCGTCGTGGCCCCACCTGAGGGGTACTGGGCTGGGGGCGTGTTCGTTTTTAGTATCAATGTACCTGAAGATTATAATATAGCTGTAAGTATGCTGTTCCTTGTGCATGTGTTGGTGAATTTTGTTTAGGAGTGTGAACTTTATGTTGCTTTTATTTTATTAGTTTTGATAGACTAATACAGTTGGCCCTCAGCATTTGCAAGATTATATTCTGCAAAATAGGTCTTCATTGGTGCATATATGGTATTGAAAAAAAAAAAAAAAAAAAAAAAAAAAAAAAAAAAAAAAAAAAAAAAAAAAAAAAAAAAAAAAAAAAAAAAAAAAAAAAAAAAAAAAAAAAAAAAAAAAAAAAAAAAAAAAAAAAAAAAAAAAAAAAAAAAAAAAAAAAAAAAAAAAAAAAAAAAAAAAAAAAAAAAAAAAAAAAAAAAAAAAAAAAAAAAAAAAAAAAAAAAAAAAAAAAAAAAAAAAAAAAAAAAAAAAAAAAAAAAAAAAAAAAAAAAAAAAAAAAAAAAAAAAAAAAAAAAAAAAAAAAAAAAAAAAAAAAAAAAAAAAAAAAAAAAAAAAAAAAAAAAAAAAAAAAAAAAAAAAAAAAAAAAAAAAAAAAAAAAAAAAAAAAAAAAAAAAAAAAAAAAAAAAAAAAAAAAAAAAAAAAAAAAAAAAAAAAAAAAAAAAAAAAAAAAAAAAAAAAAAAAAAAAAAAAAAAAAAAAAAAAAAAAAAAAAAAAAAAAAAAAAAAAAAAAAAAAAAAAAAAAAAAAAAAAAAAAAAAAAAAAAAAAAAAAAAAAAAAAAAAAAAAAAAAAAAAAAAAAAAAAAAAAAAAAAAAAAAAAAAAAAAAAAAAAAAAAAAAAAAAAAAAAAAAAAAAAAAAAAAAAAAAAAAAAAAAAAAAAAAAAAAAAAAAAAAAAAAAAAAAAAAAAAAAAAAAAAAAAAAAAAAAAAAAAAAAAAAAAAAAAAAAAAAAAAAAAAAAAAAAAAAAAAAAAAAAAAAAAAAAAAAAAAAAAAAAAAAAAAAAAAAAAAAAAAAAAAAAAAAAAAAAAAAAAAAAAAAAAAAAAAAAAAAAAAAAAAAAAAAAAAAAAAAAAAAAAAAAAAAAAAAAAAAAAAAAAAAAAAAAAAAAAAAAAAAAAAAAAAAAAAAAAAAAAAAAAAAAAAAAAAAAAAAAAAAAAAAAAAAAAAAAAAAAAAAAAAAAAAAAAAAAAAAAAAAAAAAAAAAAAAAAAAAAAAAAAAAAAAAAAAAAAAAAAAAAAAAAAAAAAAAAAAAAAAAAAAAAAAAAAAAAAAAAAAAAAAAAAAAAAAAAAAAAAAAAAAAAAAAAAAAAAAAAAAAAAAAAAAAAAAAAAAAAAAAAAAAAAAAAAAAAAAAAAAAAAAAAAAAAAAAAAAAAAAAAAAAAAAAAAAAAAAAAAAAAAAAAAAAAAAAAAAAAAAAAAAAAAAAAAAAAAAAAAAAAAAAAAAAAAAAAAAAAAAAAAAAAAAAAAAAAAAAAAAAAAAAAAAAAAAAAAAAAAAAAAAAAAAAAAAAAAAAAAAAAAAAAAAAAAAAAAAAAAAAAAAAAAAAAAAAAAAAAAAAAAAAAAAAAAAAAAAAAAAAAAAAAAAAAAAAAAAAAAAAAAAAAAAAAAAAAAAAAAAAAAAAAAAAAAAAAAAAAAAAAAAAAAAAAAAAAAAAAAAAAAAAAAAAAAAAAAAAAAAAAAAAAAAAAAAAAAAAAAAAAAAAAAAAAAAAAAAAAAAAAAAAAAAAAAAAAAAAAAAAAAAAAAAAAAAAAAAAAAAAAAAAAAAAAAAAAAAAAAAAAAAAAAAAAAAAAAAAAAAAAAAAAAAAAAAAAAAAAAAAAAAAAAAAAAAAAAAAAAAAAAAAAAAAAAAAAAAAAAAAAAAAAAAAAAAAAAAAAAAAAAAAAAAAAAAAAAAAAAAAAAAAAAAAAAAAAAAAAAAAAAAAAAAAAAAAAAAAAAAAAAAAAAAAAAAAAAAAAAAAAAAAAAAAAAAAAAAAAAAAAAAAAAAAAAAAAAAAAAAAAAAAAAAAAAAAAAAAAAAAAAAAAAAAAAAAAAAAAAAAAAAAAAAAAAAAAAAAAAAAAAAAAAAAAAAAAAAAAAAAAAAAAAAAAAAAAAAAAAAAAAAAAAAAAAAAAAAAAAAAAAAAAAAAAAAAAAAAAAAAAAAAAAAAAAAAAAAAAAAAAAAAAAAAAAAAAAAAAAAAAAAAAAAAAAAAAAAAAAAAAAAAAAAAAAAAAAAAAAAAATCACCTCTTCTGGCTCACTCACTCCCATACCTGCTATTCTTTATCCTTTTTATATTTTAGCCAGTCTGGATACAAAGGGCGTTAACCTCTCAATGACGCTATCAGAAATCTCTCTGTGTCACTGACTCCGGTGACTTCTGGCTGTTTGGCCCAGGAGTCCGCTATGCGTAGTGGAAGTTCCCACTCCACTAGCTCTAACATGTGACGCCTATAGCTGTACCTGTCATGACAAGTCAGTTTGTTATGACGGCTATAGGCATAGCCTAGCAGTAAGAGGTTAAGGGCCAACTATACAGTTTGATAAATTTTGACAAGATAGTCCAAGTTATAATCTTGTCATGAAATTATCTAGTTTCCATTTTAAAATTGTCAGCCTCCTGTTGTGAGATGTGAAACGAAACTGTGGCATCCAAACATCAGTGAAGAAGGGGAGATCTGCCTGTCTCTCCTGAGGCAGAACTCCATCGATGGTCTTGGCTGGGCGCCCACGCGGAGGTTAAAGGATGTCGTGTGGGGTCTTAGTAGTCTTTTTCAGGTGAGTAGATGTTGTGCAGGGAAAAGTTATTTGTTAAAGAATGATCTGTATTTTATGGATTATTTGAATAATGGTTCCACCAGGTGTAGATTATGTTGAGCCTTAATGAGTCTCATGTGAACAGTTTTTTTGAAAAATCATATAGAATGGAAGCTTGGGGAAATATTCAATATGTGAATATGATTGGTTAATCTGTAATTAGAAAATTCAAGTCATGCCCATATCTTCATTATACAAGTAATTACAAGATTTCATTACGTACTATTACATGTTTTTGTAGGAATGGTTGCAGCTAATATTCTGTTATCTTAAATGTGATCTATATTTAGTGAAATGAATCCTGATTCACATTTGTAAATGAAATTAGATGAAATGAATTAGGATTTTCTGTATATGATTATATAAAAAAAACCCAATAAAACCAGAGTGAATAGAAATGACAGAAGATAAAATTGAGTAAAAAAAAAAATCACCTCTTCTGGCTCACTCACTCCCATACCTGCTATTCTTTATCCTTTCTATTTCAGGATCTATTGAATTTTGATGATCCTCTAAACATCGAAGCTGCCGAACACTACCAGCGCGACAAGGACTCCTTTAGATGGAAAGTTAGGGACTATATAGAGACGTATACAAAACGATGAAGCACACAGGGCTTTCTCTCGGCATTAGCTTAAGTTTGTAAATACTCTTCAACCTCTGTGCGCTTTTCCTTTCCACTGGGGGGGGAAAAAAAAAAAGATTGTTCTCTGATTGACTAACATTTTTTACCATTAGCTGTTGTTAAGCCACATGTACTACTAGTGCTTTAGATTTTGATATCCATTGTATTATTATTTTTTTTTCTCTCTCTCTCTCTCTCTTTTTCTTTTCTTTTTTTTTTCTCATTTTGTGATAGCCTTTTTCTCTTATTATGCAAAGAAAGGTTTCGTGTTTCAAATGGAAGTGTAGGAAGGGTGTTGTAGCTTCAGTTTTAAATAAAACCCATGGCATTACCAAATCAGTAGCCCCCTCCCCTACATACACACTCCCCAAACAAACAAACAAAAGATAAAAAGAAGATAAAAAACATGTTTCACAGCAAAATAGGATTCAGTAGGTAAGTGTACCATTTTTCTCCAATAAGTTTCATTCTAATGTTATATAATTAAGAAAGTTATATAAAAAAATTGTAAGAAAAGAAAGTGTAGAACTCTTCCAGAAAGGCATCCTTTCACATGGGAAAAAGGGGATGGAACAACTACGATCTGGCATTTTGTTTTGCAATATTGTTTATTTGTATGTAAGAAGGGAATCGAGTAAGTGTTATTGTTTCTGTTAAGCGTTTCCCTTTCTGAATGGAGAATAGCCACCAGTGTAATGCTGCAGAAATCATCTTTTCTTTTCCTCAACTTTCGACACAAGATAACAGGAATCACATCAGGGGTTCAAGGGAAGTTATGGACCCTAAAGGTATCTCGAGCAAGATCCACGCTTAAGGCCATTTCTCATTAAAAAAAGAAAGAAAGAAAGAAAAAAGAACATTATGAATATTACGAGTATTCCCTCCTTGTCCTTGTCATTCTCTGAAGGATGTTGGCAAACGGACCTGTATTCTCTCTACCCCACGATTCTCTCAGAAGTTGTTACTTTTTTTTCCAGGATAACTACTGGTAATTACACACTGAAGTCAAGCATTAAAGTACAGTCACATTTTTTTCTCTCTCTTTTTCTTTTCTTTTTTTTTTCTCATTTTGTGATAGCCTTTTTCTCTTATTATGCAAAGAAAGGTTTCGTGTTTCAAATGGAAGTGTAGGAAGGGTGTTGTAGCTTCAGTTTTAAATAAAACCCATGGCATTACCAAATCAGTAGCCCCCTCCCCTACATACACACTCCCCAAACAAACAAACAAAAAGATAAAAAGAAGATAAAAAACATGTTTCACAGCAAAATAGGATTCAGTAGGTAAGTGTACCATTTTTCTCCAATAAGTTTCATTCTAATGTTATATAATTAAGAAAGTTATATAAAAAAATTGTAAGAAAAGAAAGTGTAGAACTCTTCCAGAAAGGCATCCTTTCACATGGGAAAAAGGGGATGGAACAACTACGATCTGGCATTTTGTTTTGCAATATTGTTTATTTGTATGTAAGAAGGGAATCGAGTAAGTGTTATTGTTTCTGTTAAGCGTTTCCCTTTCTGAATGGAGAATAGCCACCAGTGTAATGCTGCAGAAATCATCTTTTCTTTTCCTCAACTTTCGACACAAGATAACAGGAATCACATCAGGGGTTCAAGGGAAGTTATGGACCCTAAAGGTATCTCGAGCAAGATCCACGCTTAAGGCCATTTCTCATTAAAAAAAGAAAGAAAGAAAGAAAAAAGAACATTTATGAATATTACGAGTATTCCCTCCTTGTCCTTGTCATTCTCTGAAGGATGTTGGCAAACGGACCTGTATTCTCTCTACCCCACGATTCTCTCAGAAGTTGTTACTTTTTTTTCCAGGATAACTACTGGTAATTACACACTGAAGTCAAGCATTAAAGTACAGTCACATTTTTTTCTCTCTCTTTTTCTCTTTCTTTTCTTTCAGTCTTCTGTGCCACCTGTGTTGAGCCCTCTTAGATTGCAGCTATTTTTAACAGCATACGTGTTAGCTGTACCAAACCACCTGGTGTTGGCAAGCACTTTCTGCTCACAATTGCCCCATTGTATAATGCAACATTCCAACTGGTCTACATAGATGTAGATCATGCAACAATAATTGCTCAATAAGCAAGTCTCCATGACTCATCTCTAAGAGAATGCAAACCTGGTATTTCTTGTTGGTGTCAAGTTATTTATTTGTAGAAGAGGGCATAGATGGAGGCCTGAGACCTTCTAGGTATCATTTTAAGCTACACTATAAGCAGTGGGCTGTAGCAGTTCAGTGCTGGTTGTGAGATCTATTGGTAAAACTCAAACAACAGTTTTCAAGATTTGAGAGTACAGTTAATTCACACCAGTTGATCTTGTGAAAATGGAGTACTAGTAATGTACTTGTTGCAGGTCTTTCTAGTCATGAGATCTAACCTAGTAGAGAGACATATTCAAGCGTATAGTTAAGAAAGCGTAAGGTATATTTGTGATACTTAAAGAAAAGTATATATGAAATGGCCTTCTTTTTTAATAGTTAGTACATCACTCAATATTTTCTCTAAAGGAAATGACTAATTAGATTATTTAGATTATTATATAATCGATCAAGTTGGTAAGGTGAGGATATGGATGTCATGTTGTACAGTTCTATTTCAACTGATGCTTCAGACTATAGAAACCATAGCGAGAAGAAAAAAACAAACAAATACAACAATAATCTCAGAATTAGGTAGGTAATAGTGATGCCTAATGTGAATGAGTATCATGAAAATGACCCAACTTTCTTCTTTTTGTTATTTCTATACTCCTATGAATGCCTTTATCAAGTCATCAGTAAACAGTTATATATGAATTACTACTGACCCTTCATTTTTGAGTGTGTTGCATCATGACATTTAATTATATATGCATTTGTGTTTTGCAAGTGCTTTTAAATTTGTTTGAATACAAATATCTTGTGTCGTGGACGGTTGTTTGGACAGCATATCGATGCAAACAAGGAGGAGTTCTACCTGGCATGTTACACCACATGTTTGTGATATTCTTTGTGTATT